ATACAGGGGCATTTGTGTTTCTCTCCATAAATATGGGGACGTTGGTGTTTCTCTCCATCAGAATATGGGGACATTTGTTTTTCTCTTTTAGAATCTAGAGGCTTTTGTTTTTCTCTCCATCAGAATATAAGGACATTTGTGTTACTTTCCATCAGAATATAGGGACTTTTGTATTTCTATCCATAAGGAAAATCTGTATATTGCAAACACTCTTTAGAAAAGTTTATTAAATGCTTTAAAACCGAAAACAATACTTACACAGATATTTTGTTCATTTATTCATTCATTCACAGAAGTGATAGAACCTGATAGTGAGAACTATAATGGCTGTCTTGCTTACTATATGAAGATTTATATGATAAGACATAACCTGTGTTTATATAATATGACATACATTTAGTTTAATTAATAAAACTCTTTAAACATACAGTACTATTTTAGTACAAGTCAATATAAAGATGATGGACGTTTTACTCACCTGATTTAAGATGGCAACTTTACTCTTTGCTGATCTGAGCAGTTCTGCCATGTGCTGAGAGAGTATACAGGGTGACCAAAGCATTCATTTTAAGAAAAGGTTAACTCGGGTGTTAGCTTGGCCAATCAGCATAGAGCTTCTAGGCATGGGGCAAATAGTACGTGACACAGGAGTACAGATACAGTGTAATCAAGCTGACTGACACCACTAAATAACAAGTGATTATCAATGTAAATATATGTAAAAATCTTAAATGAAACTAGATCACACGAGCATGTACGCACACACGCACGCACGCAGACACATGACTATATAAATGCAATAATCTTACAATAACCTCTGTGGACAAGATGTCCCATCTCAGATCAGAAGGTTAGTTGTTTGAATCCCATCAGGGGATCCAGAAATGTTATGGCTGCTACATTGGCGACAATTGTTAGGCTGCAAATGTTGATATTATGTTTGAGCAAAGAAAGTCTCAGCACAACAAATTCCCACCGTTACATTTTGCACATTTTGTGTGAGTCAGAGCCTGCCTTTCCACTATAACATTGATATTGTGATGATGCTTGAAACTGATATATACCCTGACAACAGGTTAAACATATCTGTCCTGTTGTCACGCTGTTTGAAAAAGAAAAGGAAAGTGACTCTGTTCCCAGGATCCAATTGCCATCATTTGAGCTCATATCGCCAGTGTGTCTCGAGCATGATTATACATGTCACTGATACAAATGGGGAGGTAGGCTTGAAAAGTGTGTTTATATGCCGAGTTGGGGATTGATAATGGGGAGTGGTTGAGAAAATTACCTTGTTTATATAACTGTCAACTGGTACCACCCTTCAGCATTTATCATTTCCGTAGGATGACATTTTGAAATTCATATGGCTTTATGTTAAGCTTTGTATACTCATAGGTTAATGTGTAGCGTTGTGTGTAGCTTTTACTGTAGCTTCATGGGTAGATTTACTTGTAGCTTAATGTATTGTTTTATGTGTCACTTTACGTATGGATTTGCATATAGCTTTACCTATGGCTTTACATTTAGCTTGACATATACTTTTATGTATAGCTTCATGGGTAACTTTACATATGTCTTGACATATAGCTTGGCATATAGTTTCATGTATTTGCTTGATGCATAACTTTACGGATGACTTTACATATAGCTTGACATATAGTTTTATGTAAAGCTTTATGCGAAACTTCACATATCGCTTTAATGTTGCTTGACATATAGTTTTATGTATAGTTTTAGGTATAGCTTTATGTGTAACTTTACATATAGCTTGACATATAGTTTTATGTAAAGTTTTATGCGAAACTTCACGTATCGCTTTAATGTAGCTTGACATATAGTTTCATGTATAGCTTTACGTATAGCTTTATGTGTAACTTTACGTATGACTTAACATATAGCTTGACATATAGTTTTATGTATAGCTTTATGTATAGCTTTATGTGTAACTTTACGTATGACTTAACATATAGCTTGACATATAGTTTTATGTATAGCTTTACGTATAGCTGTACGCTGCAGTTTGTAAATTATATTATGTTGGTGCTGAAACTATCAGTGTTTTCTTGCTCATCTGGCTCTGAGTGATGTCAGTGTGAGCTTATGTCAAAGTGAGTTTCTGTCGTTTATAAAATGTTGTGATGGAGTGAGCAGAAACATTTTGTAGGTGTTCTTTAATATGAGATAAAACACCCTTTCACCACCCGCTCGCAGGCTCAGCGTCAAAACAGTGGGTTACAATGATAAAATGATATGTGAGGCTGCAGGTTCGATTCACATCATTGAATTTTCATGTGAAAAAAAGTGTGACTTTTATCCAGTCAAACAGGTGTTACAATTCAAATGTAAAACCTCAAAGCAGGCCTCACTTGAAAGTAGGACCTCTCACAAGGTTACTATGAGATACAAAGATACCTACGATACAATAGGCTTAAGTTGCAGTAGATTTGTAAATGAAGTGAGATTGCCCTTATAAATTTGTTTCAAAGCACTCTGGAGTCATATCTGGTACTTTTAACCCTGCAAAGTAAGATTATTGCATTAAAATGTCTTTAAAAGCCTTTTAAAAGTTTTGTTTTAACTATGCAAACCTTTGACCATGACAAGGGTGCTCAAATTTGTGTCTAATATATTTAAAATAATTTCAAGTCAGAAGGCATTTTGGTCCTACTTTCCATCCTATTTCTGTATAGTTCACACAGGAGTCCATGAGACCACCCTATTTCTGTATAGTTCACACATGAGTCCATAAGACCATCCTATTTCTGTATAGTTCACACGTGAGTCCATAAGACCATCCTATTTCTGTATAGTTCACACATGAGTCCATGAGACCATCCTATTTCTGTATAGTTCACACAGGAGTCCATAAGACCATCCTATTTCTGTATAGTTCACACATGAGTCCACAAGACCATCCTATTTCTGTATAGTTCACACATGAGTCCATGAGACCACCCTATTTCTGTGTAGTTCACACAGGAGTCCACGAGACCACCCTATTTCTGTGTAGTTCACACAGGAGTCCATGAGACCATCCTATTTCTGTGTAGTTCACACATGAGTCCATAAGACCATCCTATTATAAGGGTAACGCTATTTTTCAGGGCATTATCATTTGCAGAAGCCCGAGGTCTTCCATTAACTGCCCGACGAAGGAGGGCAGTTGAAAAGACCGAGGGCTTCTGCAAATGATAATGCCCTGAAAAATAGCGTTACCGTTATTATAGCTTAAACGGATGGAATTTGTTATCAAATAAAAAGAAACAACAATATCGATTTTGAAACATTTACTGCAATCAACACGAATGTCACTGACCCACTTTTACAAATATGGAAACGTCATAGAACAAACCAGATGACGTCACTATTGAACGTTACGTCACCTATCCCTATCCTATGACGTCACCTAACAACTGGCGTGATAATGGCCCGTCGTCAAGTAATATGAGGGCATTATCAAGTTACAGTGGCCCGCTCATTTCTGATAACATGCGGGCGTTTTTATGATAATTCTATCCATTTTAGCTATAATTCTGTATAGTTCACACATGAGTCCATAAGACCATCCTATTTCTGTATAGTTCACACAGGAGTCCATGAGACCATCCTATTTCTGTATAGTTCACACATGAGTCCACAAGACCATCCTATTTCTGTATAGTTCACACAGGAGTCCATGAGACCATCCTATTTCTGTATAGTTCACACATGAGTCCACGAGACCACCCTATTTCTGTATAGTTCACACATGAGTCCATGAGACCATCCTATTTCTGTGTTGATCACACATGGGTCCATAAGACCATCCTATTTCTGTGTTGTTCACACAGGAGTCAATGAGACCATCCTATTTCTGTGTAGTTCACACATGAGTCCATAAGACCATCCTATTTCTGTATAGTTCACACAGGAGTCAATGAGACCATCCTATTTCTGTGTAGTTCACACATGAGTCCATAAGACCATCCTATTTCTGTGTTGTTCACACAGGAGTCCATGAGACCACCCTATTACTGTGTAGTTCTCACAGGAGTCCATGAGAGCCATCCAAAGTAGTACTGTTTCTGTTTCTGTGTATCTCTCTGTGGGTCTCACAAGGTCTCCCTGGTACTCCATACCTCACATGGAGTTCAAAGAGACCCATTGTCTCACATTTGCACTAAACGCTTAAATGTTTTTATACAAAATGTGTAAGTTTTTTTACCCTTGATAAGAAAACAGATATTGTTCCTGTGAAACTTGAATTAAACCCAGTGCTTGACCTGTGGGTTATTCTGTGTTGTCTTATACAAAGCAACAGCTGAGGCGAACTTGAATCAAGACCCAGTTTCGATATAGAGTCCCAAAACAATACTCTCCTGTGTTAAAGACAGAGAAATGTGAGGTGAAGATGTGATTCATATATGGATTTATGTCAGTAATAGATTGCAGCAGGCCGACTTGAGTCTTTATTTACCCACGCCCGAAATCACGCATCTGAGAACCATATTGTCAGCATATCAGTGGCTGTGTAGTCTTAGCTCTGAACCAAACTGGAATAGATTTGTGGATACCCACTGCGTAAATTTGTGGGAAAGGTGGTTTTGTGTGCTTACATTGATATTGTTGGATGCTGACGCCGTGATGAGCGTGTGGGTGGTGGTTAAGTGTAATATACCGCAGCCCCTCCTGAGAAATATCATGCGATATAATGCCGTAATTTGATGCATGAACATTTTGAAATTGGTATCGTTCAAAGCAATGTTACTTGATCCATGGAAGCATGGTGACATTTCTTGATGTTATGTTTTGGCGTATGGTAAACATTGATAATGCTGTATCTGGGGAGATAAAATCATTCTCGTAATGATCCAGATGAAAACTTTCTGGATTGGACAGTGGTTTTGAACATTTCTGATGTGAAGTAGTAGATCAATATTTCTTATTCCTTGAATGATGTTTCAGTGTTACAATTTCCATGCATTACAATATATGTTGACTGTATATTTTCATCTTTGCAGCTGATGTGTCTCCCGGGTCTCAGGAAGTAGATCCTAACACTATTGGACTATTCTGTTTTACTTCAACAGAAGGACCTGGAAAGGCTTGCTTCACACTGGTAAGGAACAGTTTCTTCTGTCCTGACCTTTCCAGCTAACACACACATGTGAATCCTAACAACTTCCCGCTATTGTCAGGTAGCGGTCCGGTCCACCCATTCATCTCAAGGGGAGGGAAATTGCGTTATTGCTGCCGGTAGTGCTTTAACCCTTTGAGTAGAGAATTGTTCTGAAACAAAAGCAAAACAAATATTTTGCAACAAAAACATAACAAAATGTTTGACATTTTTGCAAATAATTCCTAGAATAAAAAACTAAGATATTACATTATGGTTTTTTTTTGGTTTGAGGATGTTAAATGTGGAATTTTCAGGCTTCATTTTAATTTATGTTCAACAATCGAACTTATAGGGCTGTATCTGAAATATTAGATTAACATATAGTCTCTGAAATCGTTTAAAACACAAAACGTTTCTCTCCACTATTTTTTGTGTGTCTTAATGCTGATGCATGAAATACGTACATTTCACAGTCATGGTTCAGGAGTAATGAAATATGAATAGGTGCATGAGCATGCAGAAGTTTCCTTGAGAAGCTCATATACCTTTTGTGCATGTGTGAGAAAATCATTCTGGTCTATGTGGATTCATTCCCTTGTTTTTTAACATGAAGTCTTGTGCGAAATCAAGGGTAAAATCTCCCTTGTTTCTCATCTTTGTAATAAGAGGCCATGTTGGGATTCCAGAGTGGTCACCCCCTCGTTTCTGATCCTTGTCGGTATAGGGAGTATGTTGGGATTCGATTGTGGAATCACTGCCTGGTTGCCTATTCTTGTCATTTGAGACCATTTTTGGATTCCAGAGTGAAATCACTGTCTGGTTGCTGATTCTTTGTTCTGCTAGGCATTGTTTTAAATGCAGGTATTATGATTACCATCTGTATTTTCTCGTAAACTAAGCCGGAATTATTCCTCTTACTATCAAGCTCTGTTGTTTCCAAATTTCATGACATCAGAATATTGCTGAAACATTGTATAAGCATAATACCATACTATCCACAGAGTGAGATTGCCCACTCCAAATCCATTCCTGATAGTTGTCGTTGGAATCTAAATCCATTCCTCTCCCATCCCAAGCAAGCAGCTGGAATGATCATTGCACTGAATGTAATGTTGCCAAAGTGATGCAAAGCACTTCTTCATTCACAAGTCATTTAATGTGAGACTTGAGGTGTTACTGCCAGCCCTCAGGTAGTTCATCTGTCTTTGCAAAAAGAACACCAAGTTTGTGAAGTGTGTAATCTCAAACATTGTGTGCCACGTAATCTTACTGCTAAACTGTCTTCCTAACAACCATGTACACACATATAGCGGATGGTGGTTGTCAGATAGGCATCTTAGTGTAGCCAGTTGGTATGCAGGCTTGTTATAGTGAGTCAAGAATCTGTTGTGAATATTCATTGTAGCTCAGCGTTAAGCTCGGTAGCACACTCTGCACACTTAAAGGAGACAGCAAGTTTGACAAGGACTTAACTTTCAACTTGCGTGCACACTGTATAAGCAAAACAGCCAATTCGGAATTTGTGGTTTTCACATTGTTGACATTGGAGGAGCGTGTTGCCATGTGATGCACATGTGAAAAATGTCATGGCAAGTGTTTTGGTTGTATTGATCGGTGAAAAACTTGAGTTGATTTTTATTCTTTTGATTGGATGTTGTTTCTATTACTTAAAATGTATGATGGGAATGAATTAGGTATGTTATTGGGAAAATGTCTTGTAAAGTTTAACATTACCTAGCTGAAAGTTTAGAAAAAGAGATCCCTTAATGGTCCCTGTATACCTCTTGTTGGTTGCCTGATGTGACATGGAGATTGGTTGGCCAATATGGATGAAGAGTGTGTAGTAGTGACCTGGCTGGCACACATTACAGTGTTATGTCAGCAACTTTGTCCTGTTATCAACACTGTTGTGTTGGGCCTAGCATCTCGATACCTACACTGCCATAACACTCATATATCAGGAGCTTTGTTACACTTCAGCATTATCAGCATGTCATCACAACTGTTTTGATAGAGATCGAGGTATGAATCAAACTTACAACCCAGTCATTACTCTGTTATATAAGCAACTCTGCTACATTAAATCTACAGACAACATAAGCACAGAAGAGCCGTAAATGAGGACTTGTGATGTTCATAAACAATCTGTGCATGTCATTTTGAAGGATTGCATTTCCTGATTAACAATGATGCCTCAGATAGCGTACTTTGTGTCTAGACGCAACTTAATTTGATACTGGTCCAAGATAAGTTTAATTAGGTATCTTTCAGAGATGATATCAAACTGAAATAACTTGTACGTGATCGATGGGAGGTACACTCAAGCCGTTGTCGCGCTGAAGAGAATTTGATTCAGTGCGCTGGAACCTGTTAGGAAATTAAGAAACCCTCACATAGATATGGATTCTTTGGCATTATTTTGATAGTGCAGTGCACTTTTTGAAAGTAATTATTTGTGGGCGTGGGGATTCATTGTGCTGGTTTGCTGGAGAGTATCCTGTTTTGTGTGATTGTTCAGCTGTGCTGAATCAAAGTTCAAGTCTTTCTCCTGTTGTGCAATGAAAGTGAAGCGGTATGTTGATAATAAGATTGTCATCTACACGGGTTTCAGAGAGATTAGTGGTCTATGTTCATTTTGTAGATAATATCAGCCTCATATTTATGGATAATTTTGACTGTAGTTTTTAAACCATCTGTTGATTGCCATAATGTTTATTGCTTTTTGTTGCAATCAATGCTCAAATGTATGTATGTTGTTTGATGATTGTCTTTCATCTGGTGTACGTTCCTCTCACTAGGTACCTGTTCCCCAGTGTCGCATATGTTACGTTCCTCTCACTAGGTACCTGTTCCCCAGTGTCGCATGTGTTACGTTCCTCTCACTAGGTACCTGTTCCCCAGTGTCGCATGTGTTACGTTCCTCTCACTAGGTACCTGTTCCCCAGTGTCGCATATGTTACGTTCCTCTCACTAGGTACCTGTTCCCCAGTGTCGCATGTGTTACGTTCCTCTCACTAGGTACCTGTTCCCCAGTGTCGCATATGTTACGTTCCTCTCACTAGGTACCTGTTCCCCAGTGTCGCATGTGTTACGTTCCTCTCACTAGGTACCTGTTCCCCAGTGTCGCATGTGTTACGTTCCTCTCACTAGGTACCTGTTCCCCAGTGTCGCATGTGTTACGTTCCTCTCACTAGGTACCTGTTCCCCAGTGTCGCATATGTTACGTTCCTCTCACTAGGTACCTGTTCCCCAGTGTCGCATTTGTTACGTTCCTCTCACTAGGTACCTGTTCCCCAGTGTCGCATATGTTACGTTCCTCTCACTAGGTACCTGTTCCCCAGTGTCGCATGTGTTACGTTCCTCTCACTAGGTACCTGTTCCCCAGTGTCGCATGTGTTACGCTCCTCTCACTAGGTACCTGTTCCCCAGTGTCGCATGTGTTACGTTCCTCTCACTAGGTACCTGTTCCCCAGTGTCGCATGTGTTACGTTCCTCTCACTAGGTACCTGTTCCCCAGTGTCGCATGTGTTACGCTCCTCTCACTAGGTACCTGTTCCCCAGTGTCGCATGTGTTACGTTCCTCTCACTAGGTACCTGTTCCCCAGTGTCGCATGTGTTACGTTCCTCTCACTAGGTACCTGTTCCCCAGTGTCGCATGTGTTACGTTCCTCTCACTAGGTACCTGTTCCCCAGTGTCGCATGTGTTACGCTCCTCTCACTAGGTACCTGTTCCCCAGTGTCGCATGTGTTACGTTCCTCTCACTAGGTACCTGTTCCCCAGTGTCGCATGTGTTACGTTCCTCTCACTAGGTACCTGTTCCCCAGTGTCGCATGTGTTACGTTCCTCTCACTAGGTACCTGTTCCCCAGTGTCGCATATGTTACGTTCCTCTCACTAGGTACCTGTTCCCCAGTGTCACATGTGTTACGTTCCTCTCACTAGGTACCTGTTCCCCAGTGTCGCATATGTTACGTTCCTCTCACTAGGTACCTGTTCCCCAGTGTCGCATATGTTACGTTCCTCTCACTAGGTACCTGTTCCCCAGTGTCGCATGTGTTACGTTCCTCTCACTAGGTACCTGTTCCCCAGTGTCGCATGTGTTACGTTCCTCTCACTAGGTACCTGTTCCCCAGTGTCGCATGTGTTACGTTCCTCTCACTAGGTACCTGTTCCCCAGTGTCGCATATGTTACGTTCCTCTCACTAGGTACCTGTTCCCCAGTGTCGCATGTGTTACGTTCCTCTCACTAGGTACCTGTTCCCCAGTGTCACATGTGTTACGTTCCTCTCACTAGGTACCTGTTCCCCAGTGTCGCATGTGTTACGTTCCTCTCACTAGGTACCTGTTCCCCAGTGTCGCATGTGTTACGTTCCTCTCACTAGGTAGCGGTAACTATGGATGTTTGACAGCCATGGAAGACTCGCTCACAATTGCAATGCTGTTCACTGCTAATACTATTGGTACCAGAACACTATCATGTAGCTGTGAGATTAGTGACTCAGGTGTGTAAGTGAACCAAATTCGTTGAGGACATACCGTATTCGACGTAATAAGCGCCCAGGGCACTCTCAAAATTAGAAATAGGGGGCTCCTATTAGAATATTATTTTGGTGAAAAAAACAGAGTTGAAAGATAAATTTCGTGGTTTATGCTGACAGCCTGAAATGTTTATATACGACAGATATATTTTTCCAGAATTTAATTGCCCATAATTAAGGGTGCATATTATACGCGAATAAATAAGTCTTGTGTACATTGGTCAATCGGAAGGGGTGCTAATTAGGATTGTTCACTAGCAAATATGTTAGCAATTATCGCCATGGGCGCTTATTACATCAAATACGGTATATAAATGTTATGTTTTTAGATTTGAGGGTATTTTGAGTATTTGATGCCCAGGAATTACATTTGGGACCAAAGGTATTAATTGGAGATTTAAAATGTTAAAATATGTGGGCATCGAATACTCAGTAACACTTGCAAAACTGTGAATGTTAATT